TTTTCGCAGCAACTGAATTCTGTATTTGGCAAGGATAGCGGAATCAGTGGGTTTGAGACTGCACGATTACATATGAGACAGTTTGTATGGGTCATTTACGCAATGTACGAGTACTGTCTGTTTGTTTTGTTAATTTTATTTACTGCTTGTTTATTAGTGTTTCAGCATAAGCCGGCGAACGTGAACTTGTTGGAAGCTGTATTGTATCGTCTCCAGTTCATTCGCCTCATGCTCCTTTCACTCAGTTTATTAGCTGTTTCGCCAGCGGGTGACGAGGGACCCTCTGCGGCAATTGATTTCAGGTATCGTTTTCACGAAACCCCACTTATCATCCAGTTTGTCTGCTAGTTCTACCTTTCACCTTATTCCCTCGCCGTAATGGAATTTTCGAATTTTTCGAACTTGGTTCAGTTAATCATCCTTAGAATATCGTGGTGTTGAGGCAATGTCAGTTTACATCTGTGCAGGTTTACTGGAATCGTTTTCTAGCACCTACTTCATTCTCGTTCCACATCGAGCCGTTCATTCAGTGCCTGGAAAAAATGAGTGATCACAATGCTCGCGAACATAACTGTGAAAGATTACAGCGGTTTAGCATACATATCGCATTTTCAGCGCACGCAGGGCGTTTTAGTTAAAAAGCGTCACGGTATCCATCCACCCTTTGAACAAAAAATCACATTCTTAACGTGTTCACGAATGGTAGATTAAATGTTGGCCCGATGAGCTGCTTTTTACGCTACCATTTGTGAAGTAATCAAAGCAGATTAATTAACAGGCTCATGTACACCACGACCTTCATGAGTTAGGCCTGTGATTTCTGTTGCAGCTTCATTCTCAAGAAATCTTTTCAAAAATGATCGCTGAATTATAAGACACCAAATGTGGTTCGTGAGTTCTGCTGCGTTTAATCAGACATTTTGATGTAGTGGCGGAGAAATTTGCGCGTACAGTCCGCCCAAGCGTTTTAGATGGAGTGTCGGTATTCTGTGGTGTTTGCGTACGTTTGTGTAGCAGGCCGAGTTGATATTTATATTTTATCGGGCGAAGTCTTGCTAGCACTGGAGCCATACATTCATTATACTGACTGTCTGTGCTGCCCGGCAATAAACGTTCGTCGGCTGTTTGTTGTGTAATGTGATTTTTTCAGGCCAAGTTTGGATGAATGCGCGGTGCATATAAAATTTGCTCACCTGCTACTGCATAAAATAAGATCGACAGTGCATCTAGGCTTACAACCACCGAACAGCCGCGATGACGGTCCTTTACAGTTTTTATTTTTCTAATTCATGTTTG